TCTCGGATCACGGGATGGTGCGGCAGATAATGTGTGTTGCCCGGCGCATCGCTCTCGGTTGATGGCACAAGCTCGACAATCCCAAGCTCCAGCTGCTGCTTCATCACTGCGTCATACTCCTTTCGTACTTGCGGTAGCCGCCGTAGCTTCTTCAGGGTAGACTGTAGTCGGCGTTCACACAGCTGGTGGTTGTCCGGTAGCATCCGGTGCATCTCCCTCCATGGAAGATTGACCACGTACCGGCGTCCATCATGCTGGATGGTGTGCAGAAACGTCTCCATCACCTCGGGCTCGTTGGTCGTTATTCCGAGGGACTCCAAGGTCCAGAACTTCTGGACGGCATGGAGAAGCTGCTTATCGACGTCGACCTCCGAGGGGACAATGTTGCAGCTAGCATGTGAGGCTGGGTGGACCATGGTGTGGCTGGACGAGGGAATGGCTGATGGCCCTGACAGGACCCAACCGAGCCGTGTGCCTATCGCTGTCGGCCCATCCTCATTCCGCCGCACATCACCGGTGGCAATCTTCCAGTAAAAGTCTGCACCGATGAGGACGTCAATCTGGATGGTGCCTGCGCTGTCATCCGCCAGGGGTAAACCCTCGAGCGCCGCGTGCTGCTGGGCGGCTAGATGCGGATGCTGGTTGTGGACGGGTGGGCACATAGTGTTGGATACAACACAGTCCAAGTCGATCACCCCGCCGTCGGAACATTGAACGCGGAGACGGACGATCTGCACACAGCTGGCAGCACTGCCCTCGCGCGAACCAAACGGATTCAGGCAGATCCACTCATCCTGAAGGGTTGGTAGACCCAGCTGCTTGGTCACATCGTACGCCACGAAGGATCTCTGGCTGCCGCCATCCATAACGACTTTGACCGTGGCGGTGCGGGTCGGGTCTGCTGGGGAGCAGACTGTAGCGTTAGCCGTCTGGAGCAGCACGGCTCCACCATTGCCGACCGTGCCCACAGCTGCGGATGTGCCCGCTTCAGTCGAGAGGTCCTTGGCTGGCGACGCACGTCGCTGACCGGACCTGGTGGCCGTGCCAAACGACTTGTCCTTGCCAGCAAGCGCTAGCGTGCCATCGCAGATGCTGACATGATGTCGCCGGCTGCACTTGGCGCACTTTAACGTTGACTGGCAGTTGCGGGCCAAGTGATGCTGCTTGAGGCACACGAAGCAACGCCCGTCCTGTTTCACTATTTCCTTCCTTCTCGCGAGTGAAGTAATAACGGAGCACTGTGCGGCAGCGTGATCTTGAGAGCAGTAAGCACAAGGGTTGGTGGACAACACTGCTAACGCAGACGCCGTAGCTGGTCCAAACCTGGAAGGCTTGGCGGATGGCGGTGACCGGGAGCCCAGTGTCATGTTGGCGATGCTGTGCAGCGTCTCATCCGCCTCCGTGCGGAAGTCTGCTTCGCGCAGCACCCACTGCAGTAGGTGGGGTACGGACTCCTCAGCCCCTGTGTCACATCGCCATCTGTTATAGTTGGTCAGCAGCTCCGGGCCCAATTTCTGCTGCACTTGGGTGCAGAATGTCCCTGCGGCCAATTCGCCATGTCGCCCAACATCCTGCAGGTTGATGATAGCGACTTGCAGCAAGTCAGCAAAGCGCTCAAACTCTGCGGCAGTGCCCCGATCCCGAATGGGCGTAAACTGGGAGAGTGCGGTCATGTGGACGGCCGTCTTACGACGAAGGCCACCGTACTTGTGTTCTAGGCGACTTATCGCGGCTGAGTACGCGGACGCTGAGTAGCCAAATGCCTCAATGCTCTTCAGCGGCGGGCCCGTGAGGCACTGGCGGAGTTGAAGGAGCTTCAACTCGGCTGATATTGGCTGCTGATCCACGCACACCATGAATGCCGTACGCCAGGTGTCGTACGCCTTCTTGTCGCCACTGAAAGTTGGGATGGTGATCTTCTTCAAATGGCGATAGACATCAGATGGTGCCGCGCTGTGTGGACTTTGACCTGAGGAACTGTCAGGTGAGGGAGTCAGTGCAGGTGGCGACAATTGCGGCGTAACGGGTAAACGTGCTGACTGCGATGACAGCGTCGGGTTTTGACTGTATGGTCGGAAGCCGCTCCGAGTCTGGTCTGGCGTCGACAATGCGTACGATGGTTGCTGTGGTGCTGCATGCGGCGGCAGCTGTGGCGCTGCGTGCGACGGCTGCTGCGGCGCTGCGTGCGGCGGCTGCTGCGGCGCTGCGTGCGGCGGGAGCTGCAGCGGTTGCTGTGCGGAACTTAAAAACGCTGTGTACAGCGGCTGCTGCGGCGCTGCGTGCGGCGCTGCGTGCGGCGGCTGCTGCGGCGGCGCTGCGTGCGGCGGCAGCTGCAGCGGTTGCTGTGCGGAACTTAAAAACGCTGTGTACAGCGGCTGCTGCGGCGCTGCGTGCGGCGGCTGCTGTACGGAACTTGAAAACACGGTGGACAGCTGCTGCTGTGTGGCCTGCGTCGACGATTGTCGTGGCACCGAGTGCGACGGCTGTTGCAGAGAACTACTGGAAAACGCTGTGTACAGAGGCTGCTGCACCTGCGTTGACGACTGCTGTGGCGCAGAGTAGGACGGCTGCTGCACCGAACTACTTGTACTTGACAACGCTGTGTACAGCGGCTGCTGCCTGACCTGTGTTGACGACTGTCGTGGCGCTGAGTGGGCCGGCTGCGGCACGGAGCTCGAGAGCTCTGTGTACAGCGGCTGCTGCGAAGCCGGAGAGCTCGACGCCGTGTACGATGGCTGCGGCCGAGAGTTCAAAAACTCCGTGCATGGCGGCTGCTGCGAAGCCAGAGAGTTCGAAGACGCCGTGTACGACGGCTGCGCGTGCGGCCGAGAGTTCGAAAACTCCGTACACGGCGGCTGCTGCGAAGCCAGAGAGTTCAAAAACTCTGCGTACGACTGCTGCGTCGGGGAGTTCGAAAACTCCGTGCACGGCGGCTGAGCCGGCGATGTTGACCTCGGATTTGAGAGGCTCTCTGTAGCTGTGGCCATCAGCCCACGCGGAGGCTTGACCTCGAGGTCATCAGTGAGCGCCGCATGTGGGTATACCGGATCCCCGTTGACATGTATGTCGGGCGGACCTTGGTCAACGCTGTACTCATGGACATGGTACTCATACGACGGGACGGCCTGGCCCTGCGTAGGTCTACTTGCACTGGACAGAGCAGCTGTAGCCTGTGTACATGGTGTAGGTGCACCCAAAGACACACTGACATTCGCACTACCTGTGGTGCTACTCTGCATATGTGTAGATTCTACGTGTGTGGATTCCTGTTGTAACTGATCCTGTGCAGCTCGCACTGTCCTTGCCGCAGACACAGACTCCAAATACTCTCGTACTCGATCAGGGTTGCGTGAGTACCGCACACCCGTCGCCTCGCTGGTGCACGTACTATTGTAACGGCTCATGCTAGCCAAAACTGTACTCGCACGAGTAACAGCATCTGTATACTGGTTTTCCAGATCATCAGCATCCTTGCAAAGACCATCAAGAAACACACTGTCCTGACTGGTACTACATGCGCTGGATAACTCGGTGATAATCTCCATCACGGCGTTCAGGCCGTTCTCAAGTAAAACAAGATTGTACTTGATCTTGTCTTTGTCTAAGTCTGGTTCGTCGATGGCGACGAGTAGTCCGCGGCGAAGGTTCGTGAAGGTTGCCTTCGCCTTCGCTTTGGCGATCTTCCGCTTCACTACGTCAGCCATCGTCTGAGAGGCTCGAAGGACCAATTTACATTTTCTGGAATCAGTCTCGAAGATTCATTGTAAGGAAAAATATGTCTCTCTTGTCTCGAAGGAGAAAACTCAAAGAACAAAAGACAGTGAAGCAAAACCGCCAGCAAATCAAGCTACCGTACGCTTTCCAACGGCGAAAGGCGATAGTGCGGGAAAACACGAAGATACAAGGAGAAGACTGTAAGCTCAGGTAAATGCGAGAGAGGAGTTGGTGATAATCAAGAATGGAGATAATCAAGAATGGAGAAAGGAAGATCAAAAGAGAGAGAGAGATAGTGAGAGAGAGAGAGAGAGAGAGAGAGAGCGAGAGAACGAGGCTGTCTGGCGATCGTATGCAATATCTCACAGATCCTGCGCCTTGTTTCTCAGCGCCAATTTATTATACAATGTATGTATGAACATCGCCTGTTGTGACTATAAATGTCCAAACATTGACTTTGCGTTGTACTTTATGGCGCTATAAATTATTGCACCTCACGTTTTGGAGCTGAGTTTTGCTGGGCTGTTCTTCACCGCACTGATAGTCGACTAGTCATGGCACTGAAGTGCTGGCGCTGAAATGTATCACGCTGAAACGGTTGAGCTGAAGTGGCAAGTCACCATCTGATCAACCTACTCCAGTAGCAGAGTTCAGCGGATCCATCAGCTTCCTTTTTGCCAAGAACAGTGCCAATAAAAGCGATGATGCTGAAATCGTTGCTTTCTCTCGCGGAATCCCTAAAAAATCACTAAATTCCAGATTCGATCAGGGCCAGCATTGGATTGGACCTTGGTGGATCCAAATGATCCACTCAATCGACCTGGATCCGGATCCAATACCCTTAATGTTTTGAGTTATGCATCTATTTGATTTTATGTACTTTTAAGTTTCTTTTCTTAACTTAACAAAGTAGGACCGAGAGGGCTTGAAAGTTGAAAGCCCTGGAGCCCTTGCTATGTTTTTTTCCTAGTTTGTCATGTGTGTTGTTCAAACTGAGAGAAACATATTTGCAGTACAAAAGACATGTGCCCAATAATCGTATTTCAAAGACGTTTCTATCAGTCGTCCACATGTATCAAAGGAGGCGAAATCGCCTGTTTGTGGTGCGACGTTACATAATCTTCTACAACAACAACAGTTCAAACACTAGACATGACGACCTACGGAAAAACGAAGTATATCGAGGGCTCATGGGCTTTCAAGCCCTCTCATTGCATTACTTAAAAAATGTTATCTCCTCATTGTCATTTGTGTATGACTTGCAATTATCTATGTTTACCCTTTAGATATTTGGAACACGATAACCTTATACAGATACCCTATACTCTTCGTAGATACGCTAAGTCTAGCCTTTCAAGCATGTAAGTATTTTCATACTATTTAGGGATTTGAATATTGAACAACAACCAACAATCAGCAACGATTTCTTTATTTCTTCCTCTATAGCAAAGTGCCAACAATGGACGAGCAAGGTGGGGGATAGTTTTCACCAGCCAAAAAACCAAATCAAGAATTACGACAGTCAGGACCAAGTCCAACTGTCTAATCAGCTCATCACGACAGTAAAAGTTGTAAACATCTTGGCGTGCATCTGACCACAGACCAGTCCAGCACAAAGACTGTTCTGAAGACCTATCAAGGCCGCGTCAACCTATTGTTCTTTATGTTGGACGGCTGGTTGCCCTGAAGGCCTTACTTCTTATCTAGAAAGGTTATATCCACTAGGCTCTGGAACATGCCACCTCAGTTCGGTGCTATACCCTTACCAAATCTGAGCTCGAACATTTAGAGATCATGGAAGCTAGAGTAGCTAGGAGGTTATCGATGAGTACGAAAGTTACAGCGGATAGATATGAAACAAAATCGCAATTAAATGCCCTCTGTGACCTCGAGTCCTTGCATTTTCGCAGACAAATTTCTTCTCTAGTTAATCAGCGGAAAGAACTGCTTTGTCCTTTGGGAACTCACCATCGCAGCACAGAGAAGTGGAGGCCGAACCAGGAAGCCATGAAAAATATATTTTCCAAAGCCAGATTTAAACCAGGCCGGAACGTACCTTGCCAGAGTGCTCAAACTGACAAGTAAGTGAGCTCTGCATAACGCAAAAGGACGCGGAAGGCAGTCGTTGCGCGCTTAGGTGTTTGGGTGGTTGCGGCCTGCCACGCCTTGGTCTCCAAGATCTGGCAGCTTGGGACAGCAACGACAGTGGAACGTGTTGCTTGATATACTCGGACAGATGTTGAAGGGTCCTACCAACATACCGACTACCACACTGTCGGCATTCAATGTTGTATATGAGATGACTGAAGGGGGAAAACGTCTGCTATCAAGACCCACGAGAGAGCATGGAAGCTCAGGGTCCTACGCTATGCTTTTTCCTAGCTCATCACCGTCTACCACCGTGATGGCCTAGGCAAGAAAGCATAGGGATGTTATGAATATTGACGAAAGTAAAATAAGCGCACTCATACCACGAACAATTGAACAATATGTTAAAATTTGAATGTTGTTTTCTTGTGATTATCATCAGAAATATTTCATCACAATGGTAGTTGGACAACAGAAGGAAAGACATTTATGGTACCATGCGCAGGGGTCCAGCCAGCTTCCTGGAAACTAGCCCATGTGTCCCCCATACACAAGAAGTCCTCCAAGTCAATTGTTTCGAATTATCGACCTGTGTCTCTCCTCAGCATCCTGTCGAAAGTAATGGAGAGTATAGTCAACTCGCAGCCTGTTAATTTCTTGGAACGCCACCGTCTGCTGAATACTCGTCAGTACGGTTTTCGTCGTGGCACTGGAGCTGCAGACCTCCTGACTGTCCTACAGTATGAGTGGGCCAATGCCATGGCACAAGGTGGAGCTATGCAAGCAGTTGCCGTGGACATAGCAGGGGCTTTTGACAAAGTGCATCATGCTGGCGTACTTTACAAGGCCCACCAGCTGGGGATAGGGGGTTCAATGCTCACATGGCTTACCCACTAACTGCAATGCCGCACCATTAAAGCTGTTGTTCATGGCCATAGCTCATCGGTGCACCCTGTCCAGTCTGGCTTCACACCAGGTAGTATCCTTGGACCTACATTGTTCCTCATGTACGTAAACGACATTTCAAGCTGCGTGTCGCATGGCACAAACCTGAACACTTTTGCAGATTATACCACTTTGTACTCCCTTCTTGACCAAGCCTCGAATGCCTCACTACAACGAAGACTAGATAGGGAGTTGAGAATTGAGCTTCATGCCTGGGGCAAGAGATGGAAGATTGCGTTTGAGCCATCGAAATCGCAAACTATCACTCTGTCGCACCAGCGGAAGGATACAGTGACTCCCCAGCTGTCATTTGGCGGAACTCCTCTCCCACCAGATGAATCTATGAAGGTGCTCGGAGTGACGTTTGATTCTAAACTAAGCTACATACTCCACATTCGGCAAGTTGCATCACGTGCTAAGCAGTGGCTGGGCCTCCTGCGGAAGGCAGCACCCCTCCTCAGCCACGCGGGCACTGCACGAAGGATTTGTACCAGCCCCACCTAACTAACCAGCGACCGCATGATCATAGTACACGACGGGCATCGAAGCCTTGGATTACGCCGACCCTCAGGAATGAGATCAAGAAGAAGCACTCTCTATTCCGAACGTATCTAATGACACGCTCTGCTGAATCATGGAGAGCCTACACTGCGCAACGTAACAGTGTTACGGCCAAGCTGCGGTCCGCGAAGTGTGGCTATGTACACGGATACCTAGTAAGAGAGGATACGGTGGACGAGCATGGAGTGACGCTCAATCGCCGCAACTTGTACAATGTGATGTCCCTCCTTAGAACCTCAGTACAGCGTGGCGTTCCCGACTTGGAATGTGATGGGAACACCATTAGCTCTGACCTCGACAAGGCTACATACAACCTTCAACAACTTCTTCGTTGAGCAGAGCAGGCAGTCACTCCATGGGTGCACCGGCCCTCCCCCTCCCATCCACACGCCGAGGGTTACTGACAGGACACTCTAGGATGTCACCGCCACTGAAGTGGAGGTACTCGAGCTCCTTTGTCACATTGACACCAACAAAAGCGCCGGCCCGGACGGAGTCCCGTCTATTCTTCTCAAGCTCACTGCTGACCTCATCGCCCCTTCCTTAGCAATAATTTTCAACCACTCCTTCACCCACGGACAAGTCCCGAGAGACTGGCGAGATGCCATGGTGTCTCCAATCTTCAAGAAGGGCAGTCGAGCCTGTCCCACGAATCATCGTCCTATCTCCCTCCTACCCGTCGTATCAAAACTGCAAGAAAGAATCGCCCACAAAGCTCTCTACAGGCACATCCAACCCCATCTCCCTCCAGAACAGTCAGGCTTCAGGAAGAACGACAGCACAGAGTATCAAATAAGCCGCCTGCTGTACGAACTTGCTACAGACCTTGAGGTCAAGAAGTCAGTCCACGTCTGCTTCTTTGACCTCTCCAAGGCCTTCGACCACGTGTGGCACCGTGCCGTCTTGCACAAGCTTGAACACCATGGCGTAAGGGGTGCAGCACTCCGCTGGTTTGAGAGCTACCTCCTGGGCTGGAGGCAGCGGGTCCGAATCGGAAGCACAGCCTCCGACTGGCCTGACATCTCTGCAGGAGTCCCTCAGGGATCGGTACTCGGCCCGCTGCTATTCCTCATATACACGATGGACCTACTAGCAGCTTGCAACTCCCAAGCCACACGAAGCAGCCTCTTCGCCGACGACACCGCCTTAATCGCTAGCGGCCACTCAGCAGCAGCAGCAGAGCGAGCGCTCCAGTCCAGTGTTACTAAAGCCGCTACATGGCTTGACACCTGGCACCTGACCGTCAACGAAACAAAGACGGTCGTGATGACACTGTGCGGTGCCTCCCCCCTGACAATAACGTTGAGAGGCAAAACACTTTCCCCCCTGACAATAACGTTGAGAGGCAAAACACTGAACAGAGTCCAGAGCCAGCGACACCTGGGTATCATCATTCAGGCAGACCTGAAGTGGAATGCCCACATCCAGCACATCGAGAGCTAAGTTGCGCGCACTCTCCACCTCTTGAGACGGATTCGTGGACGTCTTTCACTCACCGCCCTGTCAACACTGTACACCATGTATATAGGCCCCGTTATTGAATATGGTTCTCTGGCTATGTTAGCTATGAATGTTCAGCAACAAGACGCCCTTGAACGTCTCCAATGGCAGTCAGCAAAACTCTGCCTCCGACTCCCCCTCTTCAGTCCTTGCCACCACAGTTCATTACTCCACCACGTCACTTGGCCAACCCTCTCATCCCGCCAGCAGCTCAAGCAGCTACTCTTTGCACACACCATCGCTGTCAGACGATCCCCGCCACAAATCCAGCTTGCGACCTCAGGCTACATCACCGAGCCACCAAGCCGAGACTTGAGGCGTCATCGAGTCTTTGCCCTCCCCACCACCCACTCCACCCGCCTTCAACGTTCACCCTTGTACTCCGCATGCACTCAGTACAACCGCCTACCACCGCACTGTTACTCCCTCCGAGAAATAAATGCATTCAAAAGAGAAGTTACCCCGATCATAGTATCCTCAATTTGCACATGCTCCAACCCCCGCTGCAGCCCAGCCTAGGTATAGTATTTTAATCAGGCTCTATCGCCTACCTGCCTTCGCAATGGATATACTTCCTTCTTCGTCTTCATTTAAATGAAGCACCCAAACCACGGCTGCCACTAGCCACCGTTTCTCCCGGTTTATTGCACCCACTCTGATTGATAACACATAGTATTATCTCTCTCTTATCACATGTCACGTGAGTGTTTCTTTGGATCGGGCCAATCACTGGTCTGTATGAGCGGGCAATAAATCAGTCCAACGCCCGCGTCCAAAGCCCGTCGTCAGTGACAACCCTGACTGAGACTGTACGCGTGAAATCTACGGGATGTGAATATGTCATGGTGACTGTACAGCGCAGTGTGACATGTGAACGCGTGGTCGAAAGTGGCTATCTCAGCTTTCCTCGCGTGACTACGACGACTCTGTAGAATGTACGACTCTACGACGAGTCGCAGTGTACGTGTAGCATTGAGACGAAGATGGAGTTCTTTTTGGAGATGGACCGGCATCCCGGGAATGGACATAGCTTCGGACGTCTGCCGTGTGGTGCTTGCAGGGATCATTTGTTCAGTCATGTTGGCAGCCTGACCGTCGGTAAGCTTTTGCATAAGATTCAGTTCTGCTCGAAGTGGTACTGTGATCACAAACAATTATTTGAAATAACACAAATTCAACTCAGCGTCGTGCGTTTTCAGATCCTCGCAAAGTCACTGCCTGTGTGTGGTCTTCATGTGCCACGCAAAACTCTTACCAGGCTCATCTGTCCTCTGCCTTCACCTTTGCTTGAACAACAAACACAACAATTCAGGAATGTTTTGCAATGAAAAATAGTACAGCTATCTGGAGCTGAAAAAAGAAGAAGAAAAATTGTCCTCAGAATTACACACCAGGGAGTCGTCAAATACTTGCACTTGTTGCAGCACTGTATTTGACAACTTCCTGATACGCATGTAAACATGAAGAAACTCTTTGTGGTAGCACTCTTAATTTTTCAACTGAAATTATGATTCTGCTGTATCTATTGTCGTTGCCATGTCTATTGCTATGACGATGCGGTGCCGGCACTTTTTTTCTGTCTCCGTCTTTCAGTACTGTATCTCTCTGATGGCCTGAAGCAGACTTTTTGTTAGGGTGTAGGAGAAATATCTTCATTTTTCCTGTTTTGATAATGATAGCACATCAATATACATTGTGGTCATAATGTGTTGGCATTTGGGCAAATTTCAACAGCAGCCCAATGGTCTGCTCTGTGGGCCATGTGATAAATTTGTTATCGCATGGTTGTTGCGGGCCTTATGGCATATTATTGCCCCTCGAGGTTAGCCCTCGGGCCTACGGCCCTCGGGCTAACCTCTCGGGGCAATAATATGCCATAAGGCCCTTGCAACCATGCGATAACATATACTTATTGGCTACGGCCATTGTGAGAATAAAGATAATAAAAGATGGCACAAACAAACAAATCGGAATTAAAGCTGTGTGGACCCTGGCTAATGCCAGACGTTAACTGAAGTAACGTCTTTTGCATAGCTACGGGAATTAAAGCTGTGTGGACCTCGCGTACATATTATATGTCAGGCCTCTACATTTTGATGAGGTGTTCCATGAAAACGATGCAACGGATCCAAAGGTTCCAGGGTTGAGGTAATGTTGACAGTTATGAGATCTTAGAACAGGGTAAGAGAGTTTATAAAATGGTTTGTAATTGATTTCTTAACCCTCATCCCGGGTTGTGGGGTCCAAACGGAATGAGGGTTTGGAACATCAAAGTACTGCCAGCTACTTCATTTTATTTTATTAACTACAGAAAATTCAAATTTCAATGGGGAAATGGGCTCTTTTATTGACTAGAGAAAATTTAAATATCAATCCGGGAATAGCTTCTCGTTATAGAGAACCTACAAGTACTTTGAACTTTGTAAACATTTGATTCACCCTATTTCTGATAATCCTTCCTCCACACCAACTAAGCCTTCGAGACACATGATAATGAAACTTGGATCTGAATATGCTGTGTGTTTTTGTGAATATCGGTGCAACTTTGAGAGTCGATATTAAAACTGGTTCACCATACTGTAAATATACAAATTTTCGGCAGCTATTTAATTTCGGCTATATTCGGCACCGACCCAAAACGCCTAAATTAAATCGCCGATGAAATTTTTCAGAGCATCTGTCGCACTATACCGGTATACCATGCCCTCTATAGCTGATCTACCCCACGCCGAAAATAAATCGCCACCGAAATGTCAAAAATCGTGAAGTGCCGAAATTTTGCAGCGCCGAAATTTTGTATATTTACAGTATCCTCCAGTCACGGAAATCCAAAACGAACACCAAATTCCCTTCATGATACACTTGGTTCAGAAAGCCATAAAGCAACGTTCTTCATGTGTTAATACTCATAAAAAGGACACACTTCAGGCTCATTACAAACATCTTGAAAGTTTTTGTCTTCACAAGTATACTTTCAAGCCTTCTCATCAGGTGAAATACAGGCAAGGGAAAAGGAACAGGAACAGTGGATTAAATACAGTAAGAAGGTGGTAAAACAGCGCAAAAAAAAGAAAGAAAGAAGATAGCTAAAGTAAACAGCGAAAATTGCAATAATGACACAAAGGTGCAAATGCGAGAAAACTCAATAAGCGCGACATGTAGTGCGACAACAAGAGACAACCACTGGACATACATGTAACTAACGAGGTTTTGATGACCTACCTAACAGCCTAAGTGTGAATTTGATTTGTTTCTGCTTGCAAAGGTTGGGTTTCCTTGTGTGTTCTTCATGTGTAATTTTACTTGTCCTACAGATATCTTGGATATAACAATCTGAGTGTCATCCCCCCTAAACTTGGCTCATGTGACGGGTAAGAAGCTTTTAATGAAACGCCAGTATTTATTATCCACAGCCGCACAAACTCCTTGGCTACATAGAGTGAAAATCTTTCCAAATCTCTCCAAAATAAACTTCAAATTCTTATCCAAATATTCGCCCAAGAGGGTATCATCAGGTATATGGGACTCCTCTAAACAAAACAATAATTATAACTACAGAAAAGGTTGAGTCACCTCCACCATTACACTGAGCTCTTAGCCGACTAGACCCTCCTGCACACAACCATCAACACTGCGAGGACACTTCCGTAGACGATATTCTATAACTCCTTCAGACAGCTGTTTCGCTAATACATAGCTCATCAGTGAAGGTAGCTGTTGAATAGTTAAAATATAGACCAAACTGCTAATATAATTATAGGGTTTTTCACATACAAAACTGGCATAGCTGAGGTGGTAACGCGGGAAAAGGAAAGTGTGAAGTACTGTTGACGTGCATGGGACATGCATGCAGGGTCAGAAATTCGGCACGGAAAATCAATCACTATGACTATCAATGCAGATAAAATTTGCCAGAATCAGTGTACTGTATAGCTAGTGAGAGTCTGTGAATTGCACATGTCCGAGCGCCATGAAGGCCTCCAAACTACAGAAAAGGTAGTGATAGTAAGTTCAACTCGGACCTTCCCGAACCTGAGCCTTACAAGTTGGAAGGTTGTTGGTTTGCGCCTTGGAGAAGTGTTGGAGCTAGGTGTCAGGTCGCCAAATGTCTCAGTACTCCTTGTCAGTTTTGTGCCATTTTGTCGCACTCGCTGACTGTGTAAGATCTGGTTACATTGGTGGACAGTTAGCCATAACTCTATAAGCCATAAGGACCACGGTTTAACCATTGGTTTGCATAGTTAACCGTTACAGTTATTTTCAAAAAGATCAGCAATCCTGGCGATCACCCGAGGAGTTTGCCGTCTTACCGTATGAGTGCTCAAGCGCTGCCTGGAAAAACTCGCTGTGAAGACAAGTGGAAGAATTATTTCGCGCGAAAGCATAAAAAAGTGGCAAATCCTTCACGGCGGTACATGGTACGTCTGGTTTACAACAAACGAGTTTGTTTGAATTTTGAATTCTTTATTCTCACGATGGCACCGAGTTCTTCCTCGCATCGATGTGGAGTCGAAAAGGACATGTCGAAAGTGTGGTAAATGTTGACGAGCGTCATGGGTCCCAATTCGTTTCGTGACCAAATAGTTCCCTTGATCTTCGATGCAATTTACTCTCACCACGTGACGAAAACGACATCAACACAGACTCATTCCCAAGGCCATGACTTGGCAAAGCTATCCGCGTGACTTCGATAACATTTTGAGAAAAGCAGACGCCTGTGAAAGCTGATAGAAGACGCGTTGACTCCTAAATTCAAATAAATTGGCGATCTTGAAATACTATAATAATTCTCAAAAGGAAATTGATCGATCGATCGATGTGCAACACGACGTACATGTAGCTACAGCGCAATGACTTCCGTATTTGCTCACATCATTTCAGTGTTATGAGTGTGTTCACATGGCGTGAGCCAGTCAAATGTCAGTAAGTTCGGCAGGAAGCGCGAGCTCCAACAACAAGTCGTTTGGTGCAGCCACCTTTTTCTTTCGACGGTCTTGTACCATCTTGAACAATGATCACCGAAAACAATGAAAAAACGGGTTGACTTGAAGATAGGTTGGGATTTGAATTTTTATTTATTTGTTTGTGTCTTTCCCTCAAACTAAAGATTTATTAATTTATTTCACTCAACTCGTGGTCCATGACCAATTTTTCACCCAAAGTGCGAGAGAGGGGTGATAGGCAACCACGGCAAGAAAAGAAAAGAATAAAGAAAAAGAGAAGAAAGAAGAATAGACAAGAATCCAGCAAGGAGATCCTATCGTACTATCGTACTACATTATGCGATCGGAGTGCATTTTTAAAGCTGGAAAGACATGCTGAGGAAGTTTCAGCCAAAATCTGTAGGACAAAAACAAAGGAGAGTTGGTAAATGCGGCTGAAATAGCACGAGGAAGTGAGAGACTATTACGAGTGGACCGGGACAGAGAAAACCAATTGAATACAGAGAGATGAATGGGAATTTTACCTAGGCGAATTCTGTGGATCAAAATGCAAAGCTGCTGTTTGCGATTATCTTGCAGTGGCTGAGTATTGCTGATACAATAGAGCTCAAGACTAGGAAATAAACGCTGCTTGTTAAACAATATTTTAAGAGGAGATTTATGTTGGATTTCAAGTTTGTTCACAAGATGCTGACTTAGACTACACCAAGACTGACATGCATACTGGAAAATAGGTTGTTACAGGCAAGAATTCAAATTCCGATACACGTGCACAGGCACACTCTCCGAACGCAAATGGGACAACACACCATTACTAGACGTTCTGGATTTCTTCTTGCAAACACACTTCAACCACAACCGGCATAACTCTAAAACCAAAAGGCAAAACTGCAAAAGGAAGCAAAAAAGGGCCAGCAAAGGCACAGCGCGCTTGCGCCACGACATACACGTACACGTGACACAAAAGGTATAATAGTGCGAGCATGACTCATAGTCATAGCTCAGTCATACAGCACAGCGCAGTTGTACAAGCGCATGATCATGATGATCGCGGGTACAAAGGGTTTCAAAAATACAAATAAATTATCATGAGAGCAGCTCAAACAACTACACGTTCGAAGCAGAAACAGAATAGAAGAGAGACGGAGAAGCAGAGTAGAACGCGACTAGACAGGAGAGAATTATCAGTGTCAGTAGAATAATGGCATGCATGGACACTCGTAATAACGGAACAGACGACATGGCCGTAGGCTGCAGCATCTCCACGTGCGCGTTCGCACCAACGTGACTCAGAGGAAAATAAATAAATAAACAGACAGGGTAAGGTCAGAACGAGAATCATTCAAGAGGCTGTCTTGAAACATTTACAGAACAGGCGAGTGGCGACAACATAGGTAATAGATACGAGCGACAAAACATAGAACGGCATGTATTTGGCAGATGAGAACGATGAGGATATAGTATGCCGAGAACACTACTAGTTTTCTTGCAAATATAGTCTACTTGAGGAGCCCATATTAGACAGTCGTCAATAATTATATCAAGGTGCTAATGTTCATGGACAATTTCTATGGTCGATGAGCTGCCAGGACATGATAAAGACACATTGCAGAACTGACCACTAGCACCGCTACAGAAGAACATCACTTTGGTCTTACTAGTGTTCGGTCTCAGCTTCCAAGTCGACATCCAAGAAATGGTGGAGTTGATCTTTTTCTGGAGGTCATCTACTAGCAATTGCCTGCAACTACTTGAAGTGGAAACTGTGGTGTCATCGGCGAACAGTGAAACATTAGGGACGGACATCGGTAGATCATTGACGTAAACTAAAAAGAATAGTGGCCCCAGGATTGACCCCTGTGGCACACCAGAATTAATTGGCTGGGGAGACAAGAGGGTGTTGCCGACGCGTACAGCCTGTGACCTGCCAGTTAAGTAGCTTTCAAAGAAACAAAGCAGTTTGCCACCAATGCCATAGGCACCCAACTTGGCAATCAGGCCTCTATGCCAAACAGTGTCGAAGGCTTTCGCCAGGTCAAAGAAGCACATGCCAGTATGTTCTTTCAAATGTCGGTACTGCATGATGTTTTGGATTAGGTGGACTAGGTGCATAGCTGTGGAGTCTCCTCGCCGGAAACCAGACTGCATGGTATGCATGTACGGGGACAAGTGTCGATATAGCTGATCGTACACAATGCGCTCAAACAGCTTTGAAATACAGCACAGTAGGGAGATGGGTCTGTAGTTCGTTGCATCCGACCAGCAGCCTTTGCGCTTATAAATTTGGACCACTAATGCGTATTTCCAACCGGAGGGAAAGATTCCAGACGACACAGAGATGTTAAAGAGCAGCGATAACGGATATGCTAGGCTGTCTTGGAGGTGTTTCAGGATTTCGTTTGGTCTACCATCTTAACCAGGAGACTTCCTATTGGGAAAACTGCGTATGTATCTGGTTACAGTACGGGATGAAATCGTCAGCGATGTAAACGTTGACTCTATAGGTATTTGGTGGATAGGTGGAACTAACCATTCAGGTCTATCCTTAACGCAGAAGCTGGTAAACTGCTCATTCAGAGCATCCGCAATATCAAGAGGCGCAGTGGCGGAACTTTGGTCAGACTGTGTGATTGCTGTTGGACTAGAGCCCAATGACGATGCTGATTTACGAAGAGTTCTTATAAATGAGTGAAGTGATGGACGCTGGCTGTCGGTGGGAGAAGTAGTAATGGACTGGACGTTTTCTTTATGGGCTACACGTGATAACGTTTTTGCTATATTCCGCTGACGTTTGTACTGCGTTGCATTTGACGGGGTAGGGTATTTTTATAGATGCTGTAGAGGTCATGCTTTCTCTTAATGCCTGCCCTGAGCACTGGTGTCATCCACGGTGGATCCTGGCGTGAAGAGCGGCTTCGGTTACTGGTGGATGACTGGTGATCGCGGTGAGAAGAGCAGACTGAGGAAGACGATTCGAGGACAGACGAGAAGTTAGAAACGGCTGCATCAATATCAAGACCACATAAGAGGTCACTCCAGTGAGTTGCGGCAATTTCAGCATTGATGCCTTCCCATTGCGATTGAGCGAGCAAGTGATGGCTGAAGCGAGGCGGTGCAGTGTAAGATGTGGACTCTCGAGACTGTGCTATGTCTTTAGCAATGGAGAGCCTGCCGAGGACGATTAAGTGATCGGAGGAACCCAGGGGGCTCAGGGATTCAATGGATGTGAACTTCTCGGGAATGTTTGTGGCGACCAGGTCCAGGCAGCCACAAACTTTCATTATTTCCTTGATGTGTAATGATGACGGCGGAATTCATCCTATTTATTGCTATTCTAATTCGTGGGGAAGACACAAATGGGAAAAGTGTGAAGAAAATGGCCTGTCACCCCCAGGACTCGAACCAGGCCAGCGATGCTCTAACCCCTGAGGCCTATGGTGTAGTCGCCATCCCAGCAGAAAGAGTTCAACATTTTCTTCAAACTCCGTGACTCGCACTTCCAAAACCTCTCTAATGAAACCGACGTGTTCGTCCGTGAACGTCTTCCAAGACACTTCTGCTGATGACATTGTTTGTTGCGGTGGTGCTGCCGCAGATAGGGCAGATAATGATGAAGGACCTTGAAATTTTCTGAGAATTTTCATCTTCATGTTTTGCTTATTGTTTGTACTGAGCGAGCAACTCACCCTATTCATTGCGTTAATATCATTCTTACCTCCTGGAAATGTTTTATAATTTTATGTATGAACAGTCGGCGTGGAGAAAACAATTCAATAAGTGCAATAAAGAGTACTATTGATGCACGCATGGCCAAACAACATAACAACGCTGTAGAGTTTAAAGAAATTATAATTACTACCTCCGACAAGCGAAACTTGGCGCGTTTTTTTGTGATTTTGTTGTGTTGGTACCACAACTAACTGACTTCACAAGGCTCTGAGGTTGGTTCCGCGACCCACTAGTACTTTTAGCTCCATGCAATTGGGTGGAGGAAGCCAAGCGAAGAGCTGATGAGTGGCACATGACTCAGACTTAGTCAGAGGCAGGCTGGTCTCTCTTGTACCGGCACAACAGTGCGCGCGTTCATTCTGCGAAGGAAAATCGTCGTGCTTTCGCGTTTCAATGCAAAACCAAGGAGTTCTCTCTCTCTCTCCACTTGATCCCTCAGCCAGCACAGAGTCCATACGTCCATGCCAAACAATCCTGGTGTCCTTCGATAGCCTCCAGAGCGATGCGTCTCTGTTGGCTAAGGGAAATCGCCAGGAATTGCTGCAGGCAATTATTTTGGACTGTTGGTGAGAAAACCCGGCAAAAAGATTTGGAGTTCAGGCGCAGGTGGAGGTGTTGCACAGTTCTTACCACGTCAACCTGGAATGTGGCGGTGGAAAAGACTACCCTCGCCATCGTGGCTCAAACACAGCACATAGGAACGACATCGAGATTTCCAGAGCGTTCACAACAAAGCCACGGCACTCGCTGCAACTGAATCCGCTCTTGTCGCACTTTCGTCTCAAAACAGGGACAATTCCTATCCAGAAAAAAACTGCGATCGCTGAATCAGAGGAGAGTGATTTAGCCCAACTGATGTGTCTAAGGTCCTTGTTGAGCAATACAAAGTTGTATTTTGGCGAGTCAATCTGCTTTGATTGTAAAGTGTGTGTTATTTCGAGTAATTTGAAGTAAAAAAACGCGCCAAGTTTTGCTTGTCGGAGGTAGTATATTACGTCGAATAGTCCAAAATCTAGATTTTCACATTCGGCAGCGAGCTTTGCCCAATGGCAGAACCTTCTCTGTAGATCGTGATAGCAACCGCAGTCGGCCATGCAATAGGTGGTACGGCATGTAGGAGGCCTAAAGTGATTGTTGTTTTATTGTGATTCCCATAGGGCACTCATAAATCCAGTCACAGCCAATCATCGGCTATGCATTTTCTATTATGAGTCTTCGAATCACTTCAATGTGCCTTATGACACCACTTACATCCGGGAATACCTTGATAATGGTAAGGCTCACTATGTTCATCCTAATTGGCATCATCAAGTGTTTTTTTCGGAGGCAGAAAGCAACAAGGACGACTAATTGCACTGTAAAAAAAAAGTAAATTATCGTATCCGTTCCCGAAGGGAACTCACGAAGGCCGCTAACACCCGATAAACCCTAGCGGCAGATGCAGCGCCTAACGGTGGGGGTAAGTGCACTGTGAGTGCACTGTAAGAATTTCCTAAATGTGGACATGTATGAGTAAAAATTTAATGTGAAACAATAATCACAAGGCACACAACATTCCATTGTTACATAGATTCACTGATGAATGTAACAATACTAACAAGAAAACAGTTCTGAACAAATCCTCCGAGTCTTTCCCGTTAGTTGTGTACCTTGTGATCATCGTTTCACATTTTAATGATACATGTCGACATTAAGGAAATGCTTACAGTGCAATTAGTCGCCCTTGTTGCTATCAGCCTACTCAAGCTCAACTGATGAGGGTTGAATTCCCCGAAACACAGTGTATTGAGCAGGTAGTGGTGCTTTCTTCGCAGGTTTGCCCAGTGGAAGTTTCGATTGACTTCTCGTGTGGTCTGAATGGCAGTCGTGAGTCAGTCAAGTGAGAATTCAAGTCGGCAGGAATCGCGCAAGCTCCCACGTAGAGGGCAACTCACAATTCTCTTGTTGCTATGTCCGCTATTTCAGTGCACTTTCATAGGATATGAGACCTAGGCTGAAACACTTACCGTACTCCACGATTAGTGCCACTGGGCCACTATTTTTCACTGTCCATCACAGATGGGGCACTATTCAGGAGAGGGCACTATTTTTTCAATGCTGGTACATTTGCATCATCCAACATAAAAACAAAGAAAAAAGGAGTATGTTCGATTGGTACGATCGGAATCCCGATCCATTCGCACCCTTTCGATTGGTCGAATTCAGATCCGGATCCTTCGGATTTGGATCCGGTCAACTCACCAACCCACCAACCCGCCTTCCATAGAATTGGGCACCATTGCCCGTTTGGCCTTGCGAAGTAAAATAAAAACCAGCAACAACAACACCTTGCTCGGATCCAAAGGTGACATTTGTGGCGGGTAAAAATCATCTCTGTACATATTGTGGTACGCACACGTGGATCAAGATAGAGCTAGCTTGTTGACTTCTTGTACAACGCGTGCGCGCGCGCGCGCGATGAGTACGACTTTTATAAAGTGTTCAGTTGACTCTTAAGGATGCGACGGATTTGGGATCTGGATCCGGATCCTGATCCTTACCAATTGAACATGCCCTTAGTTTGTTGTGAACGATCAGGACTCAGCAGAAACGGCAACCGTGAAGAACTGCAAATTTGATTCTGAAAAGACAAGACTATAGCAAAACAATACCAAACTAATTACACAAGCGCTTGGTTACAGGCCCGGGCGGGGGGGGGGGGGGGGGGGGTCGGGGAGGGCACTATTCATCAAGGGAGGGCTTTTTTCACTGACTCTTAGAGACTGGGGCATTATTCGAGATAGGGCACCATTCAAGAGAGGGCTCTAATCGCGCGAGTACGTGAACTTGGATTGCTCGACCCCCCATTTCTTGCAATCAACTTGCCATAAAGAAGGCCTGTGGTTACAGAATACAATTTACGCGAAGTGAATATCAAGCAGACGAAGAAGTGTTTTCTCGTTGTGCAAGAGGCTCTGGCGATACTGGTACTGAAGTGGACACTGATGCATTGCTAAATTGGGACCAGGATGAAGGAGCGGCTATAAACAGAAAGAGCTCGTTCCCAAAGAACTGCCTTTGCCGATTCCAGCTTAGGAGGCTCAAAAAGAACTAGAATGTCTCATGGACTCCGCACCAAGTCGATTGGAGGGCTCAGCAGCGCGTGTCTTACTTTCCTGATGAAGCACGTACAGTTAGTTGTGGCCGGTTGTACTGCCAGGCCTCCAGTCAAATGCTATCATTAACACGCATGCACTCGCTATTGCAGACCAGTGGAGAGCACACATCATATGGAGGATTCATGGAGTGCTGGGCAACCGAATCTGGCATGTGATAATCATGTAGGATAGTCCACGCACGAGGCGCAGCCCATGAAAGTGTGGACGGCCTGTATGATAGTGTGTATGTATGTCCACGCACAAGGTGCAGCCCATGAGATGGGCGCCCATGAAATGGACGGAGTGTGGACGGCCCACGCACGAAGTACAATGCCCATTAGGAGGCAGGAGTGTGGGAGTATGAGTGTGATGGCCGAAGGCCGTGATAATTGCCAGATGAGAGGAGATGGCTGGCCCATGGTTGCCCAGCCTCCATGCTAGGTTGTGACACATTGCAATGCAAGTGAATGACACTGTTGTTGCTATCAGCGCAGTTTGTCAGCACAATCCTAGCAGAGCAAGTTGCTGTGCTGTTCCAAACGGTCAGCCGTGTGGGTACGTGCATGGGTGCGAGTTGCGTGCTGTGTGGCTGGTTATTACGTACCTCCATGCGTTCTGTGATGCGCTTGTACCTCTGACAGCTTTTGGGTCAGCTGCGCCATGTCTGTGTCGGTTGTCCTGATGTAGCGCAAGACACTGTCGCTTCTCCATCGGCCCATTGCCCTGATTAGCCAGTCAGGGGTACCCGCCATGGCTGCAGTTGTGGCGGCATCGATGCGGAACGAATGACCAGCATAATCGCGTGAATTGGGTGTTCCCGTGAGTGGGAGAAGGTGTCGGAGCTCTTCTGTCAGTGCCTGCCTGGTCAGCGATCTCCCAGAGCGGTAGCGGAAGAGTGCGTCAGACGGACAGACTGTAAAATATGCCAGGAGGGCGGCAACCGGGCAAGATTTTGAAGTGGTACTACCAATTATCACTGCATGGCCCTGACGGAATTGGTCCGTCTTCGATTGCTTGATGTGGAAGCGGATACATGTGCGTCCTTGATTGACATCCAGAGTCACATCCTGGCGCGTGGCATGAGTGGCAGGGTCAAACCCGGCTGGAGGTGCAGTGAATTCAGCGCATCGGAGAAATCCGAAAAAGGCGAGCACCATTGCCGCCTTGAGCATGCACTTGTCCTGCTGGTGATGCCGTTGTGAAGTAGTCTTCTCCCCCTGGCCCCCGCCACACAACAACGAGAACTCTTGATCATATCTGCAATACTTATATTATACCAAGAAATGACGAGGGCGCAGGAGGAGAGAGACAAACTTTGTGTAGGGACAAAACGACGACGGGAAAGACTCCCGGGAAAAGACTCGAAGAAAACAACAAAGAACAAGCAGTAATAAACCAACGACAAATCGAGACGACCAATCAGGGACCAATACGTACAGAACACATGACCAAGACCAAGACAACCAGACCACGGACGAATCACACACGACTCTCATTCCCAGATCAAACTAGCACTGCGCATGTACAGCATTCACTTGACAGTCACTCTCACACAGACGGAAGCACATCCTCACACTCTGACAACGCGTACTCTTGCATGCACCACATCATAAACGTCACACATCACACCATACTCGCGTGTACACTTAGACCATATTATGACATCAGACACTGGACTCCACAAGACAAGAACCAAATACAACGACATGCGTAAATCATAGTCGTAATACAAATTCGCAACAGTTGGTCCAGGCTGAGTTGGTTGAGGAGCTTCCGCAGCAAATCAATGGTGATTGGGAGGCCAGTGCACTGGATTGCCGGGTCAGTCGCCGTCCTCTTGATGCCTCGCATAACACGTGGCAGCAGCAATGCGTTCATCGTTGGATCTCGGAATCCGGCTTCGAGATGCATGTTGCGTACTGCGGCCATGTTTTTTTTTTATTTATTTTTTTACTAAGTACACAACCTACTCGTCAGAAGGGGAGAAGACAACAAAGTATACAATGACAAAACAGCAGGGAGAGTAGGGGCTGCAAAGCAAGCCTGTGCTGGTGAGGCAAGTCCACAACACCGACCTATGGTCTCGGCGTTAACGTGAGCTTGCGCACCATAGCCTAAAAGAAGGGGGTGATTTAGTGCGATAAAGACAAGAGAAGTTGAGGTAGAATGGATGAGGAGAAAGAGAGAGAGAGAGAAAGGGGGGGTGGAGAAAGAGAGAGAGAGAGAGAGAGAGAGAGAGAGAGAGAAGAGAGAGAGAGAGAGAGAGAGAGAGAGAGAGAGAGAGAGAGAGAGAGAGAGAGAGAGAGAGAGAGAGAGGGAGGGAGGGAGGGAGGGAGAGAGAGAAAGAGAGAGAGAGAGAGAGACTGAGAGTGAGTGAGAGAGAGAGAGAGGGGGGGGGGGGTGGTGTAGACATGAATTGTCTGTGGTTGAACCGATTGTGTGAGGTGTGCTGCGAAGCAGCTGAGCATCGTGTCTGTAGCCGGCATGGGCATCCATCTCTGCAACGCACAGAATTGCGTAAATTTCCTTTCGCCAGCGGTGTACGTGCGCCCTGTTGTCGGGGCGATTACCATGGCTGCCAGGTCGGCGACCTCCCGCATTGGTCCAGGAGAGGGAGGCGGATTTCAGTGTCCAGGGCTTGCTGTGCCGATCGTGCCAGCTGCTGGAATGCCTGTCAGAGTGAAACGGAAATAGTGAGTCCACCAATCAGAGATGAGCATACGGCTTGTGCATCACGACTCGAGGCCTCCAGGACAATGTCATCAGCGAACTCTTGGTGAACTATGCTACTAGAAACTATTTCGTTGAGTTGACGAGTGTACAATGTGAAGAGAGGGGGGTTAAGCACGCTACCCTGGGGAACACCTCGGGTACAAGATACTGGTCTGGACAATGCGCCTTCTATACGAACTGGCTGGTAACGACCAGATACTTTGAAATAGGTAGCTCGTGAACCAGTCCAAGACTTTACCACATGCGCCAACAGAATACAGTTGGGACACTACCTGTTCATGATGTACGCGGTCAAACACCTTTGACATATCCACTAGGGCAATGCCAGTTACTTTGTGATCAGGTCGGTTCTTGAGCCAGCGATTAGTAGCGAGAGTGAGAGCATCCTCCGTTGAGTGATGTT